GCTAATACTGGCTAGGTTGTGTCAAGTCGAGTGGAGGTTTGATGGACCCAAATACAGAGATGGAAGCTGAGGTGGTTTCTTTCAGCTTTAATATTAAAAAAATGGCAACCGAAGCAAAAATCCAAAATACAGAAAAAAAACTAAATCCTTGAGATATTAGGGAAAACTCACATGAGGAGCCAAGACATGATGAGGAACTAGCACAGAGTGACTGAAACAAGATGAAATCAGCAATGAGGAACTGAGGTGTTCTTTTAGAGCTGCAACATAACTCATTTGTAGTGTAAGCTAGAATTATTTGTCAAAGAAGGAGTATTTTCTTTATTGATTACATTACACTTCAAAATGTTAGCTGGAAATAACAAATTATTCTTAACAACAGTGAAGATTGATACTTTCTTATCATAACATTTGCATGTCTATTCTTTATTGAATCTTCTCCTGACCTCCTCATTGAATCTTCCTGCTGCTCCTCTTGGTTGTTTGCAAGCTACGTTGTAGCAAAAAGGTAGAGTATATCAAGTGATTTGAGGCTACTTGATATGAACCATTGAAATGGAGGGAGAGAAGAGCCTTTTTGATATTTTCTTCCTTTTACTTTACATCTGATGCACTAAATGGCCTTACATTATGAAGTACAAAAAAAACCATGATTTTTTAAAACAAATTATATTTAATTAATATGATAAATAAATAAAATTAAAATAAAAAGACAAGGGAGTGGCTGATAATATTTTAAAATTGTCAGCAATGAAATCAGCTGGGTTTCCTTAAATGAAAAGCTTCTACCAATCAGTCTGTATAATTTGATTGAACCGTCTCTAAAGCGCATTGAAATGTAAAATGACACTATGTAAATAAAATTTAACCGAAATGAAAAAAAAACTGGCATAGTAATGCATTTGTTAAGAATACGTGTTTGTCTCATTTCCTGATTACTTCGTCAGGTCCCCAGCATGTCTTCCTTTATCTCTCCACAGACAGCACAGCCAGCATCTATGTGCTCCGTAAAGGATTCAGCCGTCTGACTCAGGATGTCTACCACCTTCCCATTGAAATAAATGACAATGGCTCCCCCTCCATGAGCAGCACCAACACCCTGACCATCAGAGTCTGTTCCTGTGACAGCAAAGGCACTATCCTTTCTTGTAATGTGGAGCCTTACGTCTTGCCTGCTGGCCTCAGTACCGGTGCTCTGATTGCAATACTGGCCTGCATTGTCATTCTCCTTGGTAAGAAAACTAAATCTGATTCTTGTATCAATAATTAACATTGTCTGATGGGTGGAAGGTCATGTTTTGACAGTGGAAATAAAACTTTTTAATAAGATTATCTCAAAAGCCAATAAGCCTGCTGGATTTAATTTGGGTAAGTTAGAGTTAAGGGGTTAAATACAAATGAACCCCATACTTTTTAAAGAAATGTTATTGTAAAATATGATATCTGAAACAAAGCAGGACACTTGCTATTGGTACATGCTCTCATTTTGAGTTTTAACTGTGTCTTTACTGTTCTTTGCAAACAGTGCCAGTAGAGTTTATCCAAAAAGCTTCTCATCAAGACCAGGAAAATAGATTTTTATAGACAGAACTTAAACAAGTGGTTATCAAACTCCGTCTTTGGGACTCACTGTCCCTCATGTTTTAGATATTACTCTTCTCCAGCACATCTACATCAAATCATGAACTCGCTCTTAAGCAGCCACTGCGGGCTGCAGGGGCTTGCAAACCACAAAGGTTGGGCATAGAAAATCAATAAGAACTGGTTTTAACCTGTTAGGTTTAATTATTTAGAATTGGTATAAGAAGCAGGTGATGATGTTGTTCGGGGCTCAAACTTTGCCGGACGCTTGTGGACGTGATTTTTGAGACCACAGCTGTGCATAGCTCTAAGCATTTTTCTCTGTCCTGTAACGACCTGATCTGGAATAAACTATGTTACTTTTTTACTCCTGTTTTTATAGTCCTTTTTCATATGGTTTTACCGAGTTTGAGTTAAGAGTAGTAAATAACTTGCTCCCAGGAAAAGAACCGTGAGAAGGCCCCCGGGGCGCTACAGCCTTTACTTCCAAGGGGAGAAAATCCTCCTCACTTTAACAAACCTCTAAAACTTCCCCAAATTGTTCAGATTTTTTATTATTAATTTATATTTCCAATGCCCAGTTTGCTAAATAGAAACAGCAGCTAGTAGTTGTGTAATATAAAATAGCATAACATTTTTCAATAATCAGTTTGTTCTGCAGCATTTAAAAGTAGGGTTTTAAGTTAAATAATGAAATGACCAGTTGGGCAATAGGATTATTCAGTGCAAAGCAATGTGCACACTGACACAATTAAACCCCACTTTATTTAGAATAAAAACCTTGTCTTTGACCTGCTGCACTGCTGTTGTAGGGTAAGCTCTCCCAATGGAATTTATTTCTCTTCTAAATAAGCACAGCTTCTTTAGGGAGAGCAGAGTCTTTTAGATACTTTCTTTATTTTTCTTTACACCTGAACTGAGACCTGCATTGGGGAGGTGGTGGCCTAGTAATTAGCGCACAGAGCTTTGAATCCCGAGATTCTGGGTTTGAGCCCCACAGGGTACCACTCAGGATACCTGAGCCAGACTGGTAACTCCAGACTGCTCATCTGGCGTCCCCTAGCCTTAAAAAGAAGCTAAAAAATATCTATAAAAAATGGGGGAGTGGTGGCCTAGTTCTTAGGGCATAGAGCTTGGAATCGTGAGTTTGAAACCCACTCCCACAAACTGCCACTCTGGATCCCTGAGCAAAGACCCTTAAGCCCCCATTGCTTCCTGGGCGCTTTACTTGCGACAGTGTATGAACAATAAAAGCTGGAATCGGCTAACATTATGAATAATTTTAAGCGTAACCTCAACAAATAATTATTTTCGTTCTTTCGGGATGCGTTTGAAATGATAAAATCCACTAACTGGATGATGGGTATGAAATCTGATTGTACACAAAAGTAAAATATCCGTGCTTGTCTAGTTGAGTGGAGCTGAGATGGTGTAAATGATGCTGAGGGTATAAGATGTTACGGTTTCCTGCTGCGCTGCTTATCTCTTAAGCTCGGACACCCAGCCTAGCATCGAATCACATCAGCACCTTCAGCATCAGCTATACATGTAAATGGGTTTTAATGAGGTTTTACATATTAAGGCTCCATGTGGAACTGTAACTATTTGAGAAGAAAAATTAAATAGATTATATCAGAGCTGATAGGTTTGATAATAATTATCCAAAAATATGTATATATTGGCTGGGGCAAGATATTGAAAGTAAACTTTAAAGTCTGTGAGTGAGAAAAGCAAAAGGTTCTTAACATGGAAAAGAAACTTAGTCATGTGGTTCATTTTACAGAAAGTTAATGAGTATATTAAGTTTTAATACCATTATTTAATAAACAAAGTGCAAAAAATGTAATAAATGAACATACAATTTGTAAGTTTTATCTCCGATGCCTTAACTGTATGCTGACCAAGTTTAAAACTGATAGCTCAAAGTCCCTTAGAGTTTATTAAAGTTCAACATGTGAGAGAATGAAAAATGCCCAAAGATCAAACTTTGAGTCAAAAGGCCCGATAAGCAACCTCCAGGAGCTCGCTTGAGTCTGTCACAACAGAGTCCAAGTTGGATTATGACTATCAGCAGAGCTGGAGGCCAAGGTTTAGAAAGCTAGCAGTTTTATATGGGACAAAAGAACACTCCATTCATGATGCGGATGACAGTGAGGACTCTTAACAGCGATCTTGCCCCACGATTTACTGATTCCCTGAAGATTTGTTGCTCAACCAAGGATCGTTGCCCAACTTCCTGTGAGTTTTAGGGTATACCTACTAGAGACTGACACGGGAGTGTATTTTAACTCCTGTCCCGTCCCACTCCTGGTGAAATTACTCCCACTCCCATCCCGCTCCCATTCAGAATGACTCCCGCTCCTGCACCGCTCCCATTCTTGTTTGTTTTTTTTGAGCGCGGGTGAAAAACTCAGAGCGGAAGCACTGTTGGTTTTTGGGTCGTGTAGTTTTTTGGACTGGCATTATAGTGTAGGCTTCAAGGAAAAAAACTACAAAATGGCTGCGCCAGTACTGGATTTTCTTTCTTTCTATTTTATTTTATTTTTTGGCATCGATCCTAGTTTTTTTTTTTTTAGTTATTATTGGTTTGCTCCCGCTCCCGTCTGCTCCCGTTAATGTTTAATCCTGTACCGTCCCAATCACGTGATCGTTACTAATACTGACTCCCATCCCACGGGAATCCCACGGGAATGCCGTGATCCATGGGATTCCCGAAAAAGTGTCAGTCTCTAATACCTACAAGACACTTTTTTCATGATTTGGGGAGATCTTTCTATGCTTAAGTTCATTCTGGTATTTTTTGGCAGTTCTGATCAGATCTTCTGATGAGATGATATAATGTAAATAATTTAATCTGCACAAAGTACAGGCATATAATTTGATTGGACTGTAAAGACACTTTGAAGTTGTTTTTTTTATGTTTTGGATTTGGGATCAGAAGATATGCGTAAGATAAGATAATTGAAAGTTGGAAACATTGACAATAAGAGAATTAATTTAAACCGTTAAAATAGACACTGTCTTGTTAAAGCATTCATACAATAGTACCTTTGTCTTGTTATAGTACATTCACAAACCAAAAATATTTAGCTGGGATTAAATGTCATAAACCAAAATACCAAATATACCAAAAGCAATGCCAAAGTTTATGCTTATTTAAGGGTAGCATTTTTCTAATCAGATTTTAAAGATGGGGGTAATATTGTAATACCAATACACGCTGTTAAACGCCATTTTTGTGCTTTGTTTTTTGGCAGCAATCGTTGTGTTGTTTGTTGCACTAAGGCGTCAAAAGAAGGATCCACTGATAGTGTTTGAGGAGGAGGACATCAGAGAAAACATCATCACATATGATGATGAGGGAGGTGGAGAGGAGGACACAGAGGCCTTTGACATAGCTACACTGCAGGTAAGGAACAGATTATTTTTTAACGAACAAAGGTATACGATTTATGTTATTAAAACCTAACACTTAAAGTATCTCAGGTTTGTGCTGCAGCCTCATCTTACTGTTCTTTTCATCCAGAACCCAGACGGTGCAAATGGTTTCCTGCCAAGGAAAGACATCAAACCAGAACTTCAATATCCAATTAGGCCTGGTATTGGTCGCCCTGCACCCAACAGCGTTGATGTTGATGACTTCATTAAGACACGGATCACCGAAGCTGACAGCGACCCCACAGCACCGCCATATGACTCTATTCAGATCTATGGCTATGAAGGGAGAGGATCGCTGGCTTGCTCACTGAGCTCACTTGAGTCTGTCACAACAGAGTCCGACTTGGATTATGACTATCTGCAGAGTTGGGGGCCAAGGTTTAGAAAGCTGGCAGATTTATATGGGACAAAAGAACAGTCCATTCATGATGCGGATGACAGTGAGGACTCTTAACAGCGGTCTTGTCCTGTGATTTACTGATTCCCTGAGGATTTGTCTCCAAGGATTGTTCACTCCAGTTTCCAGTTATAATTAGTTCATGGCATTCTGTCAATAAACATTAACAGTTTCTTACTTCTGTGTGGGGGCACCTTCTTGGTGTTGTAGAATGGTTTGTAAATGGACGCTTTAAGAATGCTCAAACTTGAACTACTCCCTTTCTTTTTTAAATCTCCTATGTCTCCTCTATGGTTCTTTTTCCTCCATTGTTTCTTTAAATTTGAGCTTTGCAGGGCATTGTCTTTTGATGTGTTAACAGAGAATGTGATGGGAACAGTGTTACTATAGTATCTTGCATATTGCATATACAGTACTTCTTTCAACTAGATTATTGTACTTCCTCAATGGTCCCAGGGATATATTTGATTCCCTTGTCAGGTCTTTTAACAGTGGGGCACATTTAATTGTGTTTCATTTGAAATAACTGAGGCAGAGGAAGTTAAAAAGGTGTGTTTGGGTATCTAGCATCAGCCTGCAGTGAAATCAAATGAGAGGAGGATTCAGTGAACGTGAGCAAAAGGTACCATAGATTAGACAAGTTGACCGACTCTGGGTTGTTGATACTCTGAAGATGAGCAGAACATCTTTACAGTATGGTGGCCTTATAATAATTTAACAACTCAAGAGGTTAACACATAAATCAAAGACTGAAGATAGAAACAACACACAGATAAACATGAACACATGTAATGTAGAAGGTTGTGTGACCTGCAACACACTTTTTTTCTCTGCTTACAAACTGAGTCATATTTAAAAGTAATTTTATGTTGAAAGTCTTAACAGCAGCTTTGATCTGTCTGATCTCCTGCCATCAGCATTCAATTTCCATACTGACCTGAATCTATCACATATGATCACCACCATATTCCTGGTCTACCATTGATGGCTACGGTTAAAAATCTTTGAGTTCTAAAAAACGCCTTAAACTTTAGACAGAAACTCTTGGAACCCACTGCGTTCTCTTTTTCCCATATATTCAGAAAGCAAACTTGTAGTTTAACATGTACAGAGCAAAGTGCTGGCATATGATGTATCACTATGAGGATACAACCTTGCTCACTCTTAAACAAGGATATGCTGTTCAATTCATAACATTTTATTTTTTTCCAGCTGTCTAAATGCAAACTGGTGAAACCTGGCTTGTGTAACCTCCCCCCTACAAATGCCATGGATTGTTGTCAAAAGTGTACAAAACACAACATTTCAATATTCCACTAACATCTATCAAGTCTTAAATTCTGTCCGATTCATTGTATTCTTGTCAAGGTTAAGAAACACATATGCATATTTTTTTAATACTCTGCAGTCAGATGCTAGTTTACAAATGTTACAAAAATGTATTCATTTGTCATAGTTATTTTATACATCTCAGGAAGCTGGCATGATAGCAGGGGTGGGTACACTTTTCATGGTAATAGTATTACCACCAACATTCATTGCATAAGTGGGAAGCAGGAAAGTTTAAACCACATCCTTTTTAAGCTTGTATTTTTGTTCATTTTTTCATATTATGTTATAATTATTACTTTTGTCTACTATTAATATTATTGTTATCATTATAATTGCAGTAAATGTTGTTTGATTGGTTGAAAATACAAAGGAATAAACTGATGTTTAACTCTATGCAGATGACAATTGACTGTCCTTACTGTTTTATGAACACTCATGGAATTCAAGATTTCTTTTCTTTTCTTTGGAAAGCAGTAAGAGACCCTCTGCATAAAGTTAAATATCAGTTTTTTATTTTCTGCCTTTTGGTTTTCATTCCATTATTCAGCAATCTCTCATTCCCTTTCCCTGTTCTTAAGAAAATTCTGCAATCTGTGTTAGCTGCATTGAGAGAAAGCCTTGTTTTTAATTTTGTGTCAAGTTTATTGATAAATATTTGTACAATTTATAAAGTTATTATTTTAGTATACATGCAAACTGTTCCAGTATTACAACAAAAACATGTTAAGATTTTGAAAATGTTACTACATCACACGTATATTTTCAGAACATTGTATTGTTGCTTTACGATGTGCTTCAATCTCAGAAGCAGAAAGACATTTTAAATAAATGCTCCTTTTATAAAATTTTAATGGAGTGTGTTTTTTTTACGAATGCTGGTTTTGAAAGGTGTGAGCTATATTGGCTGTCATGGTGGGTTTTAAATGTTTTGCCCACATGCAGAAACAAACTCAGAGGCAGGGAAAAAGTTTAACAGTTTATTGATGGAGAGTGGCACTCAGAAAGACAAAAACACAGGATTCTCAGTGGGGGGAATATCCAGCGGTCTGGTAAACCGGAACCAGAAACTCTAGAGGGAGATCAGAGTGGTGAGTTCACGGTCCATGGGATTTACAGACCACAACTGAAAATAGCCAGTTAAGGAACTTAAGAAAGTTGTTGTCTGGTGGTTGCTCCTTGGTTCCTGTTTGTGGGGGTAATTTGGATAAGGCTGTTACTTGCTGGAGGGTGGACAGGCAGACTTGTTGGGGTCCAGAGGAGCAGCGGAGCGGACAGTCAACGAGCATTCAAGAAGGGGACTG